TCCACGTCGAAGGGGCAATATCATTTAACAGACAGATAAAGAAAAACTGATTTATTATTTACTGTAGCATATAAACTCATTAAACACAAAGATTTTTTTCTTTCACAATGGGCATCATTTTGTGAGCAGGTTTGGAGGTTTTAGTGAGTTGCACTCGAAATTTAATTAAACTACCTCCTTATCATGGAATATCAATAAACTAGGCATAAAATATGTAGCTAATAATTCAAATTTTAACATTATATAAATCTTAAGTTGAAGATAGCTTTTATATGCGGAAACATCTGTTAGCTGAGTTCTTGCACAGATCTTAAAATATAACGTTGATAAACGGAAACAACTGCACATGTAGATCTTGAAAGTCAAGTTGTTCAAAACTTGAAAATAGCATTGATAACTGGACCAATTGTTGGTTGAGATGTTGCAAAGGAAATATCTGCTGCAGCTTTTCACCAGACACTAATCATAGCAGAACCGTCTGGAAAATGATCTATAGGAAATAGTTCAGCTTATAAAATGAGTCAGATCAACGTAGGCCGGTAAGGCAATCACTGATTGGCATAGCCTTAAGCCAATCAGGAAATGTCACAGACCTACTGAAGGATGTGTAGATTGTATAGGATTTTTTTTTGGCGGCAAGGACAGCTGTTTCTGCATATAAAAGCTATCTCCAAGTTTTGTACACCAAAAAACTTTTCAAATCTTAAGTTCTTAATTCTATAAAGTAATATCTTAAAAAACCATCAATTTCTCCTAGTGTGAGAATTGTGACATTTGCTATCTAGGTATCGCTTCTTGTCCAATTTATTTACCACCTCTCAACACACTAATAAATTTAAAGTAAAGTACTCATTATGATGCTTTCATCACTCAGGGAAAGCATGATTTTTATAGCCTTCAATCTTATTTGGTTACAGAGCCTTAAACTAGAAAATCAGACCATACTTGCCACTCCCACCTATCATATCCTCTCTTTCATAAATTGCTAATAGTTCTCTCTAATGTTTAATACTATATTATTTATAACTAACAGAAAGCCAATGTTTTAAATCTATCAAATGATACATTATAAGGGTTTGAACACCCGAGTTCAAAACAGTAATTAGATCTCAAACTGGTGAAGAGAGCTATGAGCTAAATGTTTGTACTTGAAGAAAAACTAACTTCTCAGAGCAATTCTATGAGCCATTGCACCACAGCTAAAATATAATATTTTTTGTACAAAAGTCTTGTAATGTTTACTGAAAGTCTGCCAAATTTTGTGAAGATACACATACTGTATTAAAAGTTATATTATCAAAACTGTAATGAGTACAAAATGGTTATGAGCTTGGCTGATACGACTGAGCCTGTATAAAACAAAAAGAATTAAACCACACAAGTTCATTATACATGTACGTGACACACCTCTAAATTCACACACACAAAAAAATTCTCTTAGAACACCACATTAAAATAAGTTAACCACATGCTCAACCTTTTACAATATTTGTTGCACTTTTAAACTCACTTTACATTTCTTGAAATTAAGCATCACCATCATAAAAATGAAACATATTTCTCCGAGACATCAAAAATTTAATTCACATTTTTGTTCTTAGCAATATGAAACTCTAACCTTTAATTGTTCTTGTCCAAAAGGATGTTCTAACCATTCAGGAACTGTGACATTCTTGTTCTCCACATCACAAAACAAGGGTACTGTCATTTCAACTAACTCATCTAAAGACTCTGAAATCAAGTTTACAAACTTTAACACAAGTCTGTTAACAGTCAATATTAACAACACCATATTGAACTGTATTTATGGAATACAC